TTATCTGCACTCCCGGAGACTGGTAAGGCTTCCTAGGCAGCTATCTATCCAGCTCCCGGCCCCGACGACCTTGAGCACCTGTAAGCTTCTTAAGCCTGCCTCCACCATATTCAGCTCCACTTCTGGGGGAATGAGGACCTGTCGTAAGGCGGCGATCTTCCAGACACCTCTCGGCATCGTTCTGATCCGCGTCCCCTCTGCGTCCAAGAACTGTAGATGACGAAGTTTCGCCACTGAAGACGGAAGACTTGTTATCCCTGTATTTTTCAAGCACAAGTATCGCAGATGGATCAGGTCTCCAACTTCTTCTGGCAATTCGTCGAATAGTGCCCCCTCCAGATCGACGACTTTGAGCAGTTTCAGATCTCGATCGGAGAAGACTCTATTTATATCAACTTGGCAGCGGGTTCCGAACGACAGAAAGGTGCGCAGTCTTGGGGTGGACTTCGAGTCCCAGCACCACGCTTTTTCCCCCTGAAGAGAAAGCCGACGCACGGAGGAATCCAGTTGGGAGACGCCTTCGTCGTCTCGGATCCCGTGAGAGACGAGGAAGCCCACTTCCTTAGCCTCTGCAACGGTCAAATCGTGCAGCAGATCATGGATCCGGCAACTTACCTCAATTATCGGGCCAGATTCATCTTGCACACGTATCACCGTGCACCTCTGGACGAGCTCTTCCAGGTAATCCTCTGCAGTTTCTTCCAGTGTTTCACCTGCTCTTTGCTCGACGAACCCCTCCGCGATCCACAATCCAATCAGCTTGTCGACATTAATCTCGAAGTCCTCTGGAATAGAACTGAAAAAAAGGAAACAACACTTTAGGTGACGGGGCAAGTCCTCGTAGCTCAGCGCCAGTATATCCAAGCACACTCGGCAATCTTTGCTGGTTTCCCAGACGAGCGTCTCCGCGACCCTCCTCCACGCCCCGAGTGATGGACCTTTCGTCGATAGCAGACCGCCGAGCACCACCAGAGCCAGAGGCAGGCCCCTGCATTTCCTCGCGATTTCTTTCCCGACATTCCTCAGCGGTTCTGAACAGACTGCTTCGATATCCTCCTGATACGGGAACGCCTTCTTGGAGAGGAGCTTCCAGCTCTCCTCATCGTCAAGTAGCCGCAGCTCAAGGGGAGGGGTAGATGGGTCCGCAGCTCGGGCGATGTCGACGTAGCGGGTGGTGATGAGCACCCGGCTTCCGTTCTCGGAGTCTGGGAGATGCGGACTGAGGATTGTCCAGACCTCCTTGTCCCACACGTCATCCATGACGATCAAGTAGTTCTCCGCCTTCAAGGTCTGGTAAACCGTCGCTTCACACTCGGTCCTCGTCATTTGCTCGAGTTTCTTTACTTTGAGCTTCGTGACCTGCCGAAGAATGTCTCGAAGGAGACCCTCAGCTGAGTACTGCTGGGAGACATCGATCCAAACCGAGAGACTGAACCTGGCTTTTGCTTCGTTGAAGACTCTCTTAGCAAGAGTGGTCTTCCCGAGGCCGCCCATCCCTACAATGGAGATTACCGACCGCCTCTTCCTGCTCCCGTCCAACAGATGTCCCAGGATTTTGTTCGTCTCCGCGTCCATGCCGACCAGATCAGCATCTGGGGCATGGAGAATGGCCCGCCTTCGTTCCCGCACTGTCTTGTCGATCTGCTTCCCCGGCTATCCGCCCAGGTCCTGGATTCCGTAGGTGATTCTTCGTTCACTGATTTCACGGATTTTGGCCCTTATGGCCTCGATCTCGTTACCGAATTGGTGGAGTACGATCAAGCCGTTGGGGGATGGAAGGCGGCAACACACAATGGTTCTGATGAAGCCCTTTCTCCGTCGTCCCCTCTGCTCGGCATCGAGGACGTAAGACTCGACGAGTTCCTCCGCCTGATAAGCGATTTCCCTCACCTGCCTCACCCAGTTCTTCACATTTTCGTCCCCCTTGCTCTTCGTGTCGGCATCCTTCAGGAAGCACTGCATCGTCTTGAGCTCCTTCTTGACCCACTCCACCTGATCTTTCACTTCGAACAGGAAGACCGCTTCATCGATGAGGAGATCGCAGATCCGTTGTACCACGTAGCCGAGAACAGCGTCCGCCATCCCTCAGAAATGGAATGGTTTGCCGATGAAACTTCTCACCTATGTTCCTTCTGTCGTTAATAAGTGGCGAAGGATAATAATAAAGAAGATACGAGCGCAGATGAGTTGACCTGGCTGTTCGTCGACCGGGCTATTTGATGTACGAGCGCAGAAAAATAAGAAAAAATTATAGCTTAATGTTTTGTTCTGTTATTAGGATTAAAGCTTATGCGTGAGTGAAGACTAAACTTGATGATTAACCCAATAATTTTGATAAAACATGATTTATCGTACCCACTTATTTATGAAACAAATTACCAGATATTGAAAGCTGAATGGACTCATGAGGACCAATTACACGTCACGATCGTGGCACAATGGAAAAGCTTAGACCGGGGAACCTCGTGGGTGGAAAGTCCATCGCCAAGTAGTACATCTCGTCGCCCACCCGCTGCCAACAAATTGGTCAACAACGTTTCTTTTCTAACCCAACACATCTTTGACTAACAAGGAAAAAATCTTTGAAATAATGCTCACAAAGAGAGCTGGTAAACTGTCCCAATCAAGCGCTCAAACTTGAGGACTATGGGCAATTATTGATGATTAAACACGTTAACTGACTATTTACTAAATCCTAACTTGTTCTTTGCAAATGTGTTTTATTAATGTGCTAAATGCAATTTTTTTCTAATTTTCATAATTTTTAATTATTATTTACAAGAATTAAAAATATTGAACTTCAACAAGCAAACTATTTTGGTTCTATATTAGCCAATGCAAAGTGACCTTGACATGAGAGTGACTTCAAGTTTTTAATATTTTTGTTCCATTTCAACGAAACCTCCAACATCTCTTTTAAATCAACTCTTTTATATATACTGTTTACTAAATGAAGCAATGGTATCTGTTATCACAAGAATTAACTTAAAATTCTCTCTCTTTTTTACGATAATTAATGGAAATATTTCAAAAACTTAAAAATTTGCCTACCTTGGTGTTTTAGTACCCAATTGATGGCGAGGGGGACCCGTCTCCATCAGCTTAGGAGACACCGACAGTCCGAGTTCAGCTTGATCGACGTGCGAAGACAAAGGAGCCTGGCTTTCGCTACACAGCCTAGCCCTTCGGGATGACGACATTCCATCTTTGCGACGACAACGAGCTCAAGCTCACCCTTATCTTTCTTTGTATTTTCACGTTGACTTGTTGGGCCTCGCATTTGTGTGTTAGCATGCTCAATTCTATATGTGTATGTTATTATTTGTGTCTCCCTTTCTTTAGGGTTTTATTGGGTCTCTCTCTTGAAGCCCAATTAAAATCCTAAGGGGGGGGACCTATATTTCTTTCCTTTTGGGCCTTTTTTGGGGCTTATTTGGGTCTTCATTTGAGGCTCGCTTAAGCACCATATGAGGGCCCTCCTCTTTCTCCTCTTAGGAGAGTGTATTGGGTCTCTTTTAGAGGCCCAATAAGCCCCTTTTGTAGCCTTTTTGTGGCTTATGGGCTTGAGGGCCTCAAGTGGGCCCACCTCACCTTAGCCCACTTGTGGGCCCTATATAAGGGGAGGTAGGACCCCCCCTCAACCCGAAGTGCCAAATTTTGTGAGAGATTATCGTTTGTGAGTTATCCTTCTTCGTGACCTAAGGTAGGGAGGGAAGGAGGGAGAGGAAGGCTGTCGATACCCTTTGAGGACTTCATTCATCATGACGCTGCTGCCTGAGAAGTCCCGCCACAGCCTCATACCAACTGCCACCGCCAGACATCTTCATTGCCGCCCGTGAGATCGCCGCCATCACCGGACAAAACGGTTGCAGTTGCCACTGCAACTGCCACCACCTCTACTAGAACCCCATCACGCCGTCGTGACGAAAGGGGCTTGCTTCGGCTCCCTACAAGCCATCGCCGAGCACTCTGCTGGAGTCTCTTGACTCTTAGTTCGACTGCCACCTCTTCCTTCAGAACTCTACCATAAACTCGCCGGAGCCGTCATCTGCCGCTCCGCCTATTCGCTGGCCGTTCGCCGACGAACGCCTACCTGCCGCCGATGTCGGGAGAGGCCCTGTAGCTGTACCGACGAGCCAGATCCAGTCCAAGCTCCTCATAGGCCCCTGCTGGAGTTTTCTGACAATTCACCGCCGTCACGCCGTTTCTGGCGCCGCCTAGACCAGGAGGGTTCAACCCTCCCTTGTATCATCGGGGGGGATTGTCTCCGTCCTCTGCTCTGCTTCCCGGCGCCGCCAAAGAAGGCTGATCCTTCCAGCGACGGTTGGGCTTCCACCCAACCGCCGATGCTCGTAATTCCTGCCGAAGCGCTGCCGCCACGCGTGCCCCGCGTGCCCACCCGACGCCGCCGCCCGCGTGCCCCAAGGCATGCCGTGCGGCTTGCTGCGTGCGCCCGCTAGCATGCCCTTCGGCCCACCAGTGGGCCCATGCCCACACGGACCGCGTCACGCCTTACGACGATGACTACTACAACTCTTGACCAGAACTGATCGTCAATGCTGAGCATCACTCTTCACCGGACATCTCTACTTACGTCGAGTCTCCGTTCCGTCACGACCCGCCAGGCTACGCAGCCCCGAAGGTTAGCTTCGTACTCCTTCTTACTTAAGTTTAATTATCTTTCGAAGGGTTTTCTCGACTCATTTCCACTGCCATCAAGAGAATGTAGACAAGATAGGATGAGTTATAAGATCGTGACTTCTGACGCTGCGTCAAACTCGTCACTGTTCGTAAGCTGCAGCCCTAGGCTACTCCACGACAATCGTTCCGCCGTCTGTTCGGACATGGACCGAGAGGGTCTCACACTTACCATCGTCGAGTGTTTCCCCGAGTTGTCCTGGGTTGATAGTGTATATTGGTATGCTTGCATGTACTTAGGTTAGGTGGTCAGACCTAAAGTTTAGGGTCCATACATTCTTATCGGATTGATCCGACTGCCCCATCCTGGATCTTGAGTTTCATTGATCAAGTACAAGAGTTTTCGCCTCGTCCTGCATCACCAATGATTGACCTTTTCTAAGGTTAACATATGTAGTGGTTTTAATCGATCATTGAAGAGTTCAACTGAGTCTGAACCATAGAGTCGAATCTTGAATTGTTCAATATTTAAAGACTTGGAGACTTGAGAAAATAAGTTGGCACGACATGGAATAATTTATAGGATTAGATAATGACGCGTGAAGACACGAGACAATCAGGGTGATCCCTCGTTTAAGAGACCTAAGCTTGTCTGCGAGCAATGGTTAATTTTCTTCCCAGCCGAATTGGGGCCATTTTCTCGGACTACTCTCTCTCTCTCTCTCTCTCTCTCTCATGCCCCCTTAAAGAGTTGACAAGTCTGGTGCCCGGAGACCACTTACCGGCCTATTTTCACGTGTGGCTGTCGGACCTCTCGAACGCCCCCAACCAATTCAAGGTTCTTCGGAGCCCAATCTGTCTTATTTCTGTTTAATCTTCATTTCCTATCTCTATACTTCGTCCTTTCTCTGGTGATCGTCTTCCCTCCCTTCTCCACCTTCTTTCTGTCCATCGACCCCGGATACTCATCAAGCACCTGCAAGTTTCTTAAGCCTGCCTCCACCATATTCGGTTCCACTGGTTCCTTACGGCAGGTCCTCGTTCCCTACGAAGTGGAGCCGGAGATGGTGGAGGCAGGCTTAAGCAACTTGCAGGTGCTCAAGATGGTCCAGGCCGGGAGCTGGATAGATTGCTGCCCAGGAAGCATTATCAGTCAGTCTCCGGGAGATGTAAATAGAAGACGTCGAAGACTGTCATCATCCCGCCGTGTCTCCGTGTCATGTGAGTAATAGGTTAATATTTTTTTAATATGCGTATAGACCAGGCCCTAATTCTTGCATTTATAATAAACAAAATTGAAAAAATGAAACCAAGAGACAATAACCTCCTCTCCTCAACTCGTGTGGGCAGTTTGCTCGCGCGATGATTAGAGCCTTGAATATAGCAATTGGGCTTTCCTGGAGGCCCCCCTGGGAACTTTTCTTCCCCTTTTTAAGCCCTTGGAAGATTATTATTTGAATGATGCCCATGGCCAAACTCACTCAAATTCCTCTGCCTCTCTCTAAATCTTCTGGGATGGAAATCCCAAGTCAATATGACTTTAGCAAGCTGGACGATCTCTCCAATGTATCCATCTATTATTTCCTTCCCTATTTGGTGGAAGGGTCAATGAATATTATAGCCCAAAACTATCATCTATGCAAATAAATTCTTCTTAAATCTTGTTATTGCCCTCAATCCAGTGCAGGAAAACAGAGGAGAGCAAAGCAACCACATGAGGTGATGGTCATCCATCCGCTGGGATTCAAAATTTCCTGCTCCACTGGGCTTGGCACGACGAGACAGTGCTTGTCATGCAGGTCTTCAACATCATCCCCAGAGAGCTTCTCCCATCTCTTGGGCCCGACGTAATAAACTGAAGAAAAGAGATTTTTAGGAGAATTTATAATGTAAATTAATACATGTTTAAATAGAAAATGTACAGCATGGTGTAGCCACAGGAATTTTCTCTTTTCAGGGGTATCCCTCAATTTGCAGGGGAACTTCTTGATGATTTTGAAACACAGATAGATAATTGGGCTATCATTGCAAAAAATAATGGATATTAGGTTAACCTTCCTAACGGTAGACAAAATATGCGAGTGATTTTCATGCATGCGGAGAAATATCGAAGAAACCAATAAGCAAGATTGACATTTGGGAAGAAATTGTCACATAGTTTTAGGTTCCTGCATTATTCAGCAACGAAGACTGGACAGAGAATGAAGAAACATTACCACTTGCAACTCCACCACAAGCTCCATCTTCAATCGAGCCAATTCAGCAGGTTCTTCAATCGTCATGTCATAGCGGAAGCTACTGCAAGCAAATAAATGTTTTATGGAATGTATATATTGATACATATAATCATATCAGTGGTAAGAACAGCTAGAAGCATATCCAGAGTCCTCCAGGATGCTATATTCGTCTGGTGATCTTGATCCGACAGAAAACATTTTACCTCTAAGCCTGCTCCCTTCGGCATCAACGTAGTGTAGACCAGGGACCTGTTCGTTGTGGCGTAAATGATCAAGTGGTGAGAAACAGAGGCAAGAGGGCGAAATGAGTTGAAGACCCCTGAACGATTATATATCGATTCATCCCATCCAGCAATCATAGTTCCTATCGAAAGCCCCGTCCCCCTATGGGAGTACAGAATATTGGCCAGCAGCGTTGAAGCACCTGTCACTGCATTTTCGCAGCCCCTCCAGCCATTGTGCCAAGCATGTATGGACTAGTCCCTATGATTTTCTTCACAAACTGAGAAGGTAAAGATAGAAAATAAGCTGTCAGAAGCAGTCTCAAGCAACAATCACTAAAAACGATCACACGTCATCAAATGTTACAAAAAATAAACTCCATCCAACCAGAGTTACAAATACATTCAGATTTGCCCAGGGCAGACAGAATCAGCCAACTCGGGGCCACACTATCCAAAGCCAGATTTGACCAGCTTAGGCTGATCAAGGCGTACACTCAAGACTTTAAGAGCCATGACTTCGAGTGAAAACCTTAGTACAATGTTTCCCAACACTCCACGAATTAAGTGCTATAAAGTTTCCCAAATTAGTGTATAAGCAACATAAACATATCACCAGCAAGTGATATACGTTCATCTGTAATTCAACAGTATGCTTACATAATTGATATTATCGCATATAATTTATTCTGGTTTGAACATGACACGCATTCTATGCATGTCCCATGTTCACAATATTCATGTGAAAATAGAACACCTAATTTACTGTTGCTTGTGCATAAGACTACATGGGCTGGTCGTACATGACAAGTGCCATCTGATAAGCATCAAACATGCATTCTCTTTGTACAAAGCAAAGACAAAAAGATCGTACTCGTAAGACCCGCAAAATCTACGCGTGAAAAGAATTATGCTGGATCATTCAGAGTGTAGAACGTACATTTTAGGCGGGTGCGAAACAGTCAGGCAACTAAAAAATAATTGAGAATGAGAAGTCTCTACCCATTTATTTAAGCATTATTTTTAATGTAAGACAATTCTTTGAAATGCTCCCTTACGAGTAATAATGTCATAAAAACATCAAAAGCGCAGTGCACACAATGAAAATATCAAAAATATAAGATTCTATTAACAGATGTATAACCAGCCAATCCAACTCAAATGCCATAATTCTCTGGCAATGTGTACTGGCGCTACATCAAGCTGCAGCTGCTCTGCAGGTGCCGTACAGCATTGGGGTAGAGCTTTTCATGGCTCTTATGTCACTTAAAAGCATCAATCTCAAAGTCAAACATTCTGGGCAGGGAGTTTTAGCCTTTTGTGGATGTGTGTGTGGGAGGAAATGTGTAGCAGTATTGTCCATTGATTGCTTGAACGAGGAAGCAGAGGAGAGAAAAGCCTCTCAGCTGTCGCACAGGAGAACGTACAGAGAAGAATATAATATCTTGGGCCTACATTCATATAACTGATCTCAAAAACTCCTGTTCCTGCTATGGGAAAATGAAATATGACAGGAGCAATTTCTTTGTTAGGGAAGGCAATATGGAAATAAAATAAAGACAAACATTAAAAGGAGATAATATGCATAAGACTACTAATTTCCGAAACCTTCGTCATATCAAAGCAAAGTTGGAATTGAATAGAAAAGTTATCATTTTTAAAAGGTTTTACGATGGACTACCATGCAATCAAAATTGGCACAAGTTCTATAAATTTAGGCTGTGTGGACTTTTGCCATCCATGTACATTATAAAACAGAGCAACTGACGATGATAATAGTATCTGAAGAGAAATGTCTCATGCTATTCATCCAGAATTTGATCTGCACGGTTCATTCTATAAGCTGGATGTTTCTAATGGCACAGAGATCCAAGAACTGTCCCAAGGGGGGCAAACTATGACAATACCAGGGAAGGAAACAAAAGGAGATTATAAATAAATTCAGGGACGATTTTTTAGAAGAAAGTGGACCAATTTAAGAGGAAGATGATACATTCCAGAATTTGCCCTTGCTTTCTTCAATTCCATTAGCCACATCTTTGTCAGGAACGACAGACAGTTCAGATTCTTCTTTTGAATAAAAAATTGTGCCTCTATTTTTCGCTTCTAAATCTTTCTGTTATACTAGATTATGGCTTCCTTTCATTTACAAATCTAGGGCTGAACCTCTCTATCGGCCGTATTAAATATCTTTCTAATGCGTGAAGATGAACTCACCTTCACGGTAGTAGCAATAGAAGCTGTATTCTGCTCCTTTGCTTCCCCCGCCCACTGCGGCAGGTGGTTTTGTGGGAGAAAACTGAACAGCAGCTTCTACCATCCTAAACCCACAATCACAAGGAATTCGTCTTCAGAAATAAAAGAACAGCAAGGCCACAGAACTAACAAAAACGAATAACGAAGAGACAATCTTATGAGCTGTGTGGGAGAATAAGATGAGGAATTTACGGCAGTTAAATAGGAAAACCCGAGGAACTCGCATTGATTCTTGGCGGAGATGGTGAGGACGACGACGCGAGAGTAGGCGAAGCCGGCGACATTGTTGTAGGAGACTCCAGGCCACCGGCAGGGATCCCCATCGGCCTCTTCCCAGCCGGCCAGGCTGGCGGAGGGATCACCAGAGGGAGGATTTGAAAGCAAGCAGCGTGAGACCGTTCGGCGACAGCGCCGCGAGGAGGTGAGAGCCAGACGAGGTTAAGAGGAGGACGATCTTCATCTGCTCCGCCGCCGCCGCTGCCGCCGCCGCTGCTGCGGAAGGTTTTCCGGCGGCATGAGTCTTTTCCGGCGCCGGCAAGTATTCCATCTGTGAGTTTCGCCGGTGACTAGACTAGTTATCGTTATTCTTCCTAAAAATAGAAAATAAAATTCTTATGAACAATTGCAATGCCCAAGAGTCTGGAGTACTTTAATGAGATAATGTTATGCTCGTTATTTCTGACATAAGAGAGAGAGAGAGAGAGAGAGTAACAGAGAGAGAGAGACAGACGGCGGCGGGTTTCCCCATGCAATCTATCTATCACAACGGTTCCATATCTTACATGAAAGACAATATACAATCCACTTTCCCTTAATCCCAAATTCACTTCGGTATAATGTTGACTGAAGGTATGTGTTGGATTTTGGGCCAGTCTTCTCCCTCCTTTTCGCCTCTTGAACGGATTTCAGGGGACGTATTCCACAAAACGAGCTCCTTCAATGCAGCCATCTGTTGCAACCCTTCCGGAAGCATCGCCAACTTTGTGCAGCCGTAGATCTCCAAGCTCCTCAGGCGGGGCATGGCCCCGGCCTCAATTACCCACCTCTCTAACTTCTTCAGTGAATTAAGTACGAGGGACTCCAGTTTCGGGAACCCGCCGGGGGAGCAGATCATCTCGTTCCCTTCGTAGGACCAACGAAGACACAGATATGTAAGTTCAGGGAGCTTCTCGAGCGCCGCAATCGAGTCTTGACCCAGACTGGTCCCCCGTAGTGTGACTTTGGTGAGATTGGGGGGCCACTGGTCGCCGCCAGAACTTGATTGTTGTGGTGGCCTCCTCACTCTCCCTAGCAGCGATAAGACTTGAAGGGAAGAAAAGCTGGATGATGTTGTCCATAGAAACTCTGGGACGGACTCGCCTAGTAAGCACAACTTCTTCAGGTGTCGCAACTCCGGTAGCCAAGATGACAGCGCGGGATGATGACAGTCTTTGATGCCTCTTATTTCCAGCTTCCGGAGACTGGTAAGGCTCCCTAGGCAGCTATCTATCCACCTCCCGGCCCGGACCTTCTTGAGCACCTGCAAGTTGCTTAGGCCTGCCACCAGCATCTCCGGCTCCACTTTCTCGGGAACGATGACTTGCCTTAAGGCTTCGATCTTCCAGAAACCTCTGGGCATCGTTCTGATCCGCGTCCCTTCTACGTCCAAGCACTGTAGATGACGAAGTTTCCCCACTGAAGACGGAAGACTCTCTATATCTGTATCTTTCAAGCCCAAGTATCGAAGATGGATCAGGTCTCCAACTTGTTCTGGCAGTTCGAAGATTGGTGCCCTCTCCAGATCGACGACTCTCAGCAGTTTCAGATCTGGAAAAGGGGGGAAGGTTCTCTTTATATCAGATTCGGCATCGAATCCGAAGGACAGCAAGGTGCGCAGTCTTGGGGTGGACTTCGAGTCCCAGTACGACGCTTTATTCCCCTGAAGAGAAAGACGCCGCACGGACGAATCCAGTGGGGAGGCGCCTCCGTCGTCTCGGATCCGGTGACAGACGAGGAAGCCCACCTCCTTAGCCTTTGTAATGGTAAAATCGTGCAGCACATCATGGATCCGGCATCTTTCCTTAACTTCTCGCAATCCCCATTCGTCAACATCTCGCACAGGTATCACCATGGACCTCTGGACGAGCTTTTCTAGGTAATCCCCTGCAGTTTCTTCCAGTGTTTCACCTTCTCTTTGCTCGACGAACCCCTCCGCGATCCATAATCTGATCAGCTTGTCGACTTCAATCTCGAGGTCCTCTGGAAGAGAACTGAAATAAAGGAAACAACACTTTAGGTGACGGGGTAAGTCCTCGTAGCTCAGCGCCAGTATATCCAAGCACACTCGGCCTTCCTCCATGTTTTCCCAGACGAGTGTATCCGCGAGCCTCTTCCACGCCCAGACTGACGGATCTTTCGTGGACAGCAGACCGCCGAGCACCACCAGAGCCAGAGGCAGGCCCTCGCATTTCCTCGCGATTTCTTTCCCCAAATTCCTCAGCGATTCTGAGCAGATTGCTTCGATATCCTCCTGATTCGGGAACGCCTTCTTGGAGAGGAGCTCCCAGCTCTCCTCCTTGCTAAGTGGCCGCAACTCAAGGGGAGGGGTTGATGGATCCGCAGCTCGGGCGACTTTTTTGTCGCGGGTGGTGATGAGCACCCGGCTTCCGTTCTGGGCGTCTGGGAGATGCCGACTGAGGATTTTCCAGACCTCCTTGTCCCACACGTCATCCATGACGATCAAGTAGTTCTCCGCCTCCAAGGTTTCGTAAAGCTTCTCCTCACACTGGGCCCTCGTCATTTGCTCGAGTTTCTTTACTTTGAGTTTCGTAAGGCAAGTATTCCATCTGTGAGTTTCGCCGGTGACTAGACTAGTTATCGTTATTCTTCCTAAAAATAGAAAATAAAATTCTTATGAACAATTGCAATGCCAAAGAGTATGGAGTACTTTAATGAGATAATGCTATGCTCGTTATTTCTGACATAAGCGAGAGAGAGAGAGAGAGAGAGTAACAGAGAGAGAGACGGACGGCGGCGGGTTTCCCCATGCAATCTATCTATCACAACGGTTCCATATCTTACATGAAAGACAATACACAATCCACTTGCCCTTAATCCCAAATTCACTCCGAAGTCATTCAATGGTGATTGAAGGTATGTGTTGGATTTTGGGCCAGTCCTCTCCCTCCTTTTCAGCTCTTGAACAGATTTCAGCGGACATATACAACAAAACGAGCTCCTTCAATGCAGCCATCTGTTGCAACCCTTTCGGAAGCATCGCCAACTTCGTGCAGGAGATGATCTCCAACTTCCTCAGGCGGGGCATGGCCCCGGCCTCAATTACCCACCTCTCTAACTCGTGCAGTCCATTAAGTACGAGGGACTCCAGTTTCGGGAACCCGCCGCGGGAGCAGATCATCTCGTTCCCTTCGTAGGACCAAGGACCTAGAAGCAGATGTTTGAGTTCAGGGAGCTTCTCGAGCGCCGCAATCGAGTCTTGACCCAGACTGGTTTTCAATAGCCTGAGTCCGGTGAGATTGGGGGGCCACTGGTCGCTGCCAGAACTTGATTGTTGTGGTGGCCTCCTAACTTTCCCGGACAGCCATAAGACTTCAAGGGAAGGAAAGCTGGACGGTGTCGATAGACAATCTGGGATCGACTCGCCTCTCAATCCCAGCTTCTTCAGGCGTGGAAACTTCGGTAGCCAAGATGACAGCGCGGGGTGATGACAGTCTTTGATGCCTCTTATTTTCAGCTCCCGGAGACTGGTAAGGCTCCCTAGGCAGCTATCTATCCACCTCCCGGCCCGGACCTTCTTGAGCACCTGCAAGTTTCTTAATAAGCCTCCCTCCACCATCTCCGGCTCCACTTTGTCGGGAACGATGACCTGGCGTAAGGCCTCGATCTGCCAGAAACCTGTCGGCATCGTTGTGATTACCGTGTCCTCTGCGTCCAAGCACTGTAGATGACGAAGTTTCCCCACTGAAGATGGAAGACGCGTTATCTTTGTCCGGCTCATGCCCAAGTATCGAAGATGGATCAGGTCTCCAACCTGTTCTGACAGTTCGGCGATTCGTGTCCTCTCCAGATCGACGACTCTGAGCAGTTTCAGATCGTGAATGGGGAAGGCTCTATTTTTACCGAATTTGAGACGGGCTCCGAACGTCAGCAAGGTGCGCAGTCTTGGGGTGGACAGCGAGTCCCAGCACCACGCTTTTTCCCCCTGAAGAGAAAGCCGCCGCACGGAGGAATCCAGTTGGGAGGCACCTCCGTCGTCTCGGATCCCGTGAGAGACGAGGAAGCCCACCTCCCTCGCCTCTGTAACGGTAAAATCGTGCAGCACATCATGGATCCGGCATCTTACCTTAACTTCTAGCAATCCCCATTCGTCAGCATCTCGCACAAGTATCACCATGCACCTCTGGACGAGCTCTTCCAGGTAATCCTCCGCAGTTTCTTCCAGTGTTTCACCTACTCTTTGCTCGACGAACCCCTCCGCGATCCACAATCCAATCAGCTTGTCGACGTTAATCTTGAAGTCCTCTGGAAGAGAACTGAAATAAAGGAAACAACACTTTAGGTGACGGGGCAAGTCCTCGTAGCTCAGCGCCAGTATATCCAAGCACACTCGGCCATCTTTGCTGGTTTCCCACACGAGTGTCTCCGCGACCCTCCTCCACGCCCGGAGTGACGGACCTTTCGTCGACAGCAGACCCCCGAGCACCACCAGCGCCAGAGGCAGGCCCCCACATTTCCTCGCAATCTGTTTCCCGACATCCCTCAACGGTTCTGAACAGACTACTCCGATATCCTCCTGATTCGGGAACGCCTTCCTGGAGAGGAGCTCCCAGCTCTCCTCCTCGGTTAGAAATCCCAGCTTAAGGGGAGGGGTAGATGTATCCGCAGATCTGGCAACTTCGACGGACCGGGTGGTGATGAGCACCCGGCTTCCGTTCTCGGTGTCTGGGAGATGCGGACTGAGGATTTTCCAAACGTCGGTGTCCCACACGTCATCCATGACGATCAAGTAGTTATCCGCCAGCAAGGTCTGGTAAAGCATTTCCTCGCGCTTGGGCCTCGTCATTTTCTCGAGTTCCCCTTCTCCGGTCTTCTTGACCTGCAGAAGAATCTCTAGAAGGAGATCCTCAGCGGAATACTGCTGGGAGACATCGATCCAAACCGAGTGACTGAACCTGGATTTTGCTTCGTTGAAGACTCTCTTAGCAAGAGTGGTCTTCCCGAGGCCGCCCATCCCCACAATCGAGATCACCGACCTCTTCTTCCTGCTCCCGTCCAACAGATGTTCCAGGATTTTGTGCTTCTCCTCGTCCATGCCGAGAAGGTCAGGATCTGGGGCATGGAGAACGACCCGCCTTCGTTCCCGCACTGTCTTGTCGATCTGCCTCTCCGGCTCTCCGCCCAGATCTTGGATTCCGTAGGTGCTTCTTCGTCCATTGATTTCGTCGATTTTGGTCCGTATGGCCTCGATCTCGTCACCGAATTGGTGGAGAACAATGATGCCGTTGGGGGATGGAAGGCGGCAACACAAAATGGTCCGGATGAAGCCCTTTCTCCTCCGTCGTCTCCCTTCGGCATTGAGGACGAAGAACTCGACGAGGTCCTCCGCCTGGTAAGCGAGTTCCCTCACATCCCTCACCCAGTTCTTCACGCTTTCGTCCCCCTTGCTCTTCACGTCGGCATCCTTCAGGAAGCACTCCATTGCCCGGAGCTCCCTCTTGAGCCACTCCACCCGATCTTTCACCGAGTACAGGAAGACCGCTTCATTGATGAGGAGGTCGCCGACCCGTTGCACGACGTAGCCGAGAGCCGCGTCCGCCATCCCTCTCCACCTTTCGCCTCCTCTCAGCCAGATTTGGAAATGCTTATCCGATCAGGCATTCTCACCTATGTTCCTGTGCTCGAGGGATAATATCTTCGTCGACCGGGCTATTAATGTCAGAGCGAAGAACAATAAGAAAAATAAATATAGCTTGATGTTTTTTTGTGTTTATTAGGAAAAAAACGAACGGGTGAGTTAAGGCCAAAGTAGAAGATAAAACCCAAAAAATTTGATAAAACACGATTTTTCGTACCCACTAATTTAAGAAATAAATTCCAAGACACTGAAAACTGAATTGACTCGAGCAATTGGTGAGTGGGAAGTCGGTCATCGTTGATACATCTTGTCACCCACACGCGTGCCAAGAAATTGGTCAACAAGGTCAAACACTTCTTTTCAACGCCACCGTATCTTGACCATAACGAGAAACTAATAAAAAATAATTTCGTCAAGAGAGCTGGTTAACTGTCCCTATTAAATGCTCATACTTGCAGACTGTCGGCAATTATTGATGATTGAACCTTGACATGAGAGTGACTTTAAGTTTTTAATTTTTTTTTCAATTTCTACTGAAATCAAATTTTTGTGTAATGTTGACTAATTCACCTGAATGAAGTGATGGTCATATGTCATCATAAGGATTAGCTTATGACTATATTTTATTTCACAATAATTTCAAGGAATGTATCTAAAAACTTCAAAAAATCACGAAATTGAAAAAATGACACCCTCAATTGATCTGAAATCCCAAGCCTCACAACTGGGCCCACGTGTCTTTGACTCTCTCTCTTAGCATTCTTCATGATTCAAGATTAAATCAAAAATTTCCATGAAGTTGTATAAAAACCCAATTTGTGTTGAATCTTAGAAAATGATAATTAGTAGATAATATCTTGTTTCTCTTCGCATCATAAAGAACGAAAATAAGAAACGATGATAATTGCCGACTAGAATTCAAATAGACGATGATAATTGACGCTGCTGTAAGTCAAACTCTGCTTTCGGATGTTCATGCTTCCAGTCGTCACTTGGAAGTGAAACTCTTTAAAAGGGATATCAAGTACTCGAGCAAAGCATGTAAATCATCCAAAGTATCAAATGTACACAAACAAGGAAATTAGAAAAGAGTTAAAAGGTCGGCCAGATTTCTAAGCGAAGAGCATGCCCATAAGAGGCGGTCAAGAGCCTCTCAAGAGACTGGAATCTCCACCATTTCCTACTCCACTGGGCTTGGCACGACGGGATAGTACTTGTAATGCAGCTCCCCGACATCATCCCCAGAGAGCTTCTTCCATCCATCAGGCCCAACGTAATAAACTGAAGAACAAAGAATTTTAGGGAGCAGATATGATGCAAATTAATTAAGTTTCAAATTAAAAACTATACGGCATAATTATATTATAGCCACAGGAATTATCTTCTCTTTTTTTGTAATGTGGGACTTATCAGGGGTTTCCCTCAGTTTGCAAGGGAACTTCTTCAGGATTTTGCAACACATTTAGAAATCATCACAAAGGAAATAAATCATCGGCAGATAAAATCATCACGTGGTTTAGGTGTCTGCGTTATTCGGCAAGGAAGAGTGGATGGAGAATGAAGAAACATTACCGCTAGCAACTCCACCACTAGCTCCATCTCGGAATGTGGCATGATAGATGGCCCGTCGAGCCAATTCCGCAGCTTCTTCAATCGTCATGTCGTAGCGGTACCTAGCTCAAGCAGATAAATGCTTTATGGAATGCATATATTGATACATATAATCATATCAATGGAAAGGATAGTTAGAGACATACCCACTGTCCAACACCCCATATGCGTACGGTGATCCTGATCCAACAGAAAACCTTTTACCTTTAAGCCTGCCTCCTTCGGCATCCGCGTAGTATAGACCAGGGCCCTGTACGTTGTGGTGTAAATGATCAAATGGCCAGAAACAGAGGCAAGAAGGTGAAATGAGTTAAAGACCCTTCAACGATTATACCGTTTCATCCCATCCAGCAATCATAGTTCCTATGGAAAGCCCCATTCCCCTGTAGGAATACAGAATATTGGCCAGCAGCTTTGAGGCACCTGTCACCGAAATTCTGCGCTTGTTTGCCAGTTCATGCAGACGACACTGAAAGGAATAGAGGAACAAAAAATAACGAAACTTAGAAACGTGTTGCATTATTCGAGGTCAGAATCAGCTTTACGTGAATAATTGTCATTCACTAAATGAACACTAGAAAAAAGGTGAGCAAAAAGTGTACCTTGATCCCCAGATTTCTGTGCCAAAATTGGCAATCTGCGGCCCCTCCAGCCATTGTCCCAAGCATGTATGGATTGATCTCTATGATTTTCTTCACAGACTGAGAAGCTAAAGATGGGAGAAAGAACTGTCATAAGCAGCAGTCTCAAGAAACAGTCACTTAAAAAAAAATACACGTCATTAAATGTTTGTTACAAAAATTAAACTCCATTCAAACAGAGCTAGAAATATAGGTTGATCCAGGCAGCTAGTCAGACTTTCAGAGCCACGACTTTGACATCAAAATGTTATTAGTATGTTTTCCAACACTAATTCAGGAATAAAGCTAAAGTTCGTCATTCATAATATTGGGATATCTCCAGTTGATTCTCAAATGATTGTATAAGCACATAAAAATATCACTAGCAAGCAATATAGGCTGATACGTAATTGACCTTGTGGCATATAATTTATTCTGGTTTCGAACATGACATGCATTGTATGCATGCCTATTTATTCACAACATTCTTATGAAGGTTGAACACTTATTTTGCTGCTGCTTGCACATAAGACTGCGTGCCATACATGCCAGGTACCATTTGATAAGCATCAAACATGCATTCTCTTTATACTAAGCAAAGACAAAAGTAGCACATGTAAGACTCCCAAAATAAACGCACAAGAGCTATGCTGTATCATTCATACTTTAAAACCTCCATTTTAAAAGTAGTCAAAACCTTCCTGTTGAGAGAAACCTTTGGCTACTAGACGAGCTTTGCACCTATCAATGGTACCATTAGGTTTCTGTTTAATTTTATAGACCCATTTTCACCCAATAACATGAAGATTGGGTTGCCGGGGAATTAGAGACCAAGTATTATTCTTAACTAGGACATGAAATTCTAATTGCATGATTTGTCTCCATTCATGTAAGACTCCTAAAATAACATGTAAGACTCCCAAAATAAACGCACAAAAACTGTGCTGCATCATTCATACTGAAAAACCTCCATGCGGGTTTCCCCATGTCACTGTTAGTTGATGAGTGTGCAATGGTGATTGAAGGTATGTATGTGTTGGATCTTGGGCCAGTCCTCTCCTCCTTTTGAGCTCTCAAACAGATTTCAGGGGACATATCCAACAAAGCGAGGTCCTTCAAAGCAGCCATGTCTTGCAAACCATTCCGGAAGCATCGCCAACCTTCCGCAGTCGAAGACCTTCAAGCTCCTCAGGCGGGACATGGCCCCAGTCTCAGCTACCCATCACTCTAACTCGTACAATGAGTTAACTACGAGGGACTCCAGTTACGGGAACCCGTTGCGGGAGCGGCTCATCTCGGTTCCTACGTAGGACCAAGGACCTAGATACAGATATCTAAGTTTAGGGAGGTTCTCGAGCGCCGCAATCGAGTCTTGACCCAGTCTGGTGTTGTGTAGTACGAGTTTGACGAGATAGGGGGCCCACTGGTGGCCGCCAGAACTTTGTCGCTGTGGTCTTGTCACTTCGCCATCCAACCTTGAGAGTCTGGGATGTCCATAGACAATCTGGGATGGACTCGGCGTCCGAGAACAACTTCTTCAGCCAAGGAAACTTCGGTAGCCAAGATGACAGCACGGCATGATGACAGCCTTTGATGCCTGTTATTTGCAGCTCGCAGAGACCGGTAAGGCTCCCTAGGCAGTTATATATCCAGCTCCCGACCCGGACGACCTTCAGCACTTCCAAGTTTCTTAAGCCTTCCTCAACCATATCTAGTTCCATGTCTTTGTCAACCAGGACCTGTCCTAAGGCCTCGATCTTTCAGACGCCTTTCGGCATCGGTCTGATCCGCGTCCCCTCAATGTCCAAGCATTGTAGATGACGAAGTTTCCCCACTGAAGACAGAAGACGCGTTATCTTTGTCCAGCTCAAGCCCAAGTATCGAAGATGGATCAGGTCTCCAACTTGTTTTGGCGGTATGGGGTACCCTCTCCAGATCCACGACTCTAAACAGTTTCAGATGTAGAAAAGGGAAGGTCTATTTATGTCGGAATCGCGACGGAATCCGAAGGACAACAGGGTGAGCAGTCTTGGGGTGTGTTAAAGAAGATGCAGCCAATCAGAAGCCGTTCTTGAACGTAACCCCCTGTGACTAAATATAGTAATAGAGCTCAAGATAGAAAAGCCTACCCATTACACAATCGACACGCTTACACGTCACCTTGACACTTATAGCTCCAACGACTCAATTCGAGCCTATAAATGTAACCTAACTCTTATCGAATAAGGTTAATGGGTTCCCTTTTCTCTCTCATTCCGTTTCACTTTCTTCTCCAATCTCACACCTTCTCTCTAAGATTTTTATGAGCTTTCATGATATTAGAGTCTACAGGCACGGCATGATGACTCCTGCATCTTCTTTTCACATCGTCCCAGTGACCGTGCCTTCCGTCTCCATGGCTGTTCCCACCGGCCTCGTCATTCCCATCAAGTTCACCAGCGACAATCATCCGATATGGAGAAACTCAATCATGCCTATCTTGAATGACTACGATCTCATGAAATTTATGGATCAAGATCTACCACCTGCAATGCTGAATGATCAACCCAATCCCAAGTACCAACTCTGGTGGTGATATGATCAACAAGTTCTCGACTTCATCTCCTCTTCTATTGTCGAATCTGTCCTCTCCAATTTAGGGTACTAAACCATTGCAAAAGCCCTCTGGGATGCCATCGCGAAGACATACTCTTCCAGCAGTCACTCCTGCACTATGAAACTCCAACGGCACCTCCACAATACCTACAAAGGCAACACCTCAGTTGAAGATTATATCAAGAATTTTCGAAAACTCACCGAGGATCTGGCCACTATAAGAAAACTTGTTGATGAAGAATCTCAGATCTGCATTTTCCTCAAAGGACTTGGCCCTCAAAGAAAAATTTGACCTCGTCATTCAAGTCAATTTAGATCACCTCAACTTTGAAGATATCATTTCTCAACTTCACACATGAAGTCACATTAGTATATCACAAACAAATGTCCCAAACCTCTACACCTGGATCAGTCAACATAGCTCCACAAGCCCATCTCTCTCAAGTGACTAATAGTTCGAACAATTCCAAATCTAATTCTCAAACCACTATCTATCAACAACCTCATTGGCATGAGAAGAAAGGTTCCAACAATTATAGAGGCAAAAGAGGTCACAACAATAATAATTGACAACCCTCTTGCCAATTATGTTCCCAATTTGGTCACCGAGCTCGAGAGTGTAAGGAAAGGTTTAATGTCTCCTTTTATGATCATCCATTATTCTACCCTCCACCAAATCCGGTACCTCAATTACCTCAATTATCTCAAGTACATCACTTCCCATCTACCACCCCTCAACCACAAGCCTACTTGGCCATGACTACACCTTTTCCTCTAGCCACACCAAATTGATATCCTAATAGTGCTGCCACCCACCATATCGCCACTGACTCAGCTCTCATTCAATATCCCACTACCTATCAAGGCTCGGATCAAATCCAAATCGACAATGGCATCGGTATGGCTATTTCATCTATCAGTTCATCATTCATTAAAACTCAATAGTTTTCCTCTTAAATTACAAAATATTCTTCATGTTCCTCACATAAAAAAAAAATACTTTCATTTAAGCAATTAACTACTGATAATAACATTTTTCTTGAGCTTCATGCTTACTATCTTGTGAAGAACGAGGAAACTCATCAAATCCTCCTTGGGGGAACCATTGAGGATGGTCTCTATCTCCCCCAGCCTTACACTCTGACCTCAAGCTTTCTTAGGAGCAAGGATCTCTCTCTTCCCACTTGGCCCCATTGCTTGACGCATCCACACTTTAGAATTCTCAAAACTATTTTTGATAAATTTGGGCTTCCCTCTTTTCATTTACATGAACATCATGTTTGTAATGCTTGTAATATTCTAAATCACATAAACTCTCGTTTAAAACTCACTAATCATCGTGCCACTAAACCAGTCGAGTTAATTCATTATAATTTTAGAGGCCCCTCCCTGATTACTTCATTTTTCAATTTTAATTATTATGTTATATTTGTTGATGATTTTAGTAAGTTCACTTGGTTATATCCTCTTAAAACAAAAAATGAAGTTTTCCAAACATTTGTAGATTTTCCAAAAAAAATATTTTGTTTTCTTTCAAAATCATTTATTTTCAATCTGACTAGAGTGGTGAGTTTCAGCTCTTACCAAGTATTTTAAGGACCATGGCATTCATCATTAGATCTCATGTCCCCATACTCCACATCAAAATGGTATGGCTGAAAGGAAACATAGGCATCTCATAGAAACTGCCCTTAGCCTCCTTAATCAAGCCTCTCTACTCATACAATATTGGGATGAAGTTGTTTGTACAACCTTATACCTCATTAATCATATGCCCACCCCACTTGACTATGATTTCCTTAAATCTTTTAGGTGCCTCTATTACCCTTATATTAGACCCTATTCCCAAACTAAATTAGATAACCGATCTGAACCCTGTCTTTTTCTCAGCTATGGCATCAATCACCTAGGCTACCGATTTAAATCCCTCATTACTAGAAAATTTCACATTTCCAAGCATGTAATTTTCTATGAAACTATTTTTCCCCACTCCACAAAACCTTATAATTCTACTCCCTTGACACCTACTCCACTTCCTACCCCCTCCACTCAAAAAGGCATTTTAAGGGCATGTCCAGTTTACACTCCAACCCCTATCATCCCACCTCAGCCATCTTCATCCTCATCACTAGATTCAGCAGCTCCTCCTCAGTCCTCATGAATTCACACCATCACCTACTTCTAATTCAGCTCCTACTCATCCGACCTTAGTTATTTTTGCTAGTACCCCTAGCTAGTATAGATAGCACTCCTCACCAGCAATCCACCCAATCTCATTCCACACCTTCAAACCCTCCTGCCAAATTCCAAAGGATTAGATCTATTTATCGGAACACTACAACCATTCCTCTTCCTAATGCTTATCTACCAAACATCATATTCCTAGTTATTTTTTCACAACCCTGTCCATAACTGAACCTCTTAATTTTTCCATAGCATGGAAGAAACTTGAATGGAGACAAACCATGCAATTAGAATTTAATGTCTTAGTTAAGAATAATACTTGCTCTCTAATTCTCCAAGAACCCAATCTTCATGTTATTGGGTGAAAATGGGTCTATAAAATTAAATAGAAACCTAATGGTACCATTGATAAGTGCAAAGCTCATCTAGTAGCCAAAGGTTTCTCCCAACAGGAAGGTTTTGATTACTTTGACACCTTCTCACTAATAATTAAGATCACCACTATTCGGATCCTTCTCTCTCGTGGTTAGTCTAAAATGGAATATCCATTAAATGGATATTTCTAATACATTTCTTCATGATGATCTCAAAGAAATCGTTAATATGGAGCAACCACAAGGTTTTGTTGACTCTCGATGCCCTGATTACATTTACAAATTACATAAATCACTATATGGATTAAAGCAAGCTCCAAGAGCTTGGTTTTCAAAATTATTTCATTTCTCACTCTCAATTAGTTTCTCTAGATCCAAAACCTACACCTCTTTATTTTATTTTTCTAAAACCATTGAAATTCTTTTCATTTTGGTTTATATTTGTGTTAAAGTGTGAAAAGTGATTTTCAATTGATTAACATGATTTTTTAGCTAATTTATGTGATTTTCTATGAATTTATATGATTTTTATAGTCTTATTTTTGAGATAAATAAAGAAAAAGAAATTAAAAAACAATATAGCAAAATGGAGGAGACTCGCCAACCAACCAACCACGACAACCAGCCAACCAAGCCTGCAAGCGAGTCAAAAGTGTAGTCAAGGGGAGCCGTGAGCAGGGGTTCGAGCAGCTAGGACTGATGGGTGCACGTGTGCACCACTCCCCTTCCACGTCACTAGTGGCTAGTCAGTTGTGGGGCAAGGAATGGTTGTACACGCAAGAGAAAAGGATTCATTACTTTTAAATGTGATATTAATATATATTTACCCAAAACTTTACTGCACAAGTAATGTGGGACTAAATCTGACTTCCCTTGAAAGGGTTCAATGATTTTAATGTCTAAACTACCCCTTATTTATAACAAAGATATATCATGATGACATCACTTGATAAAAGCATTAGAGTACTTATTTCAATCTCTCTCATATAGGCGAACAATTGACACGGGTTCAAATCTTTCTAGAGTCAAAACTTATTTTTTTATCTAATTATCATGACTTTCTTGTAGATCATCAGTGAAGGATTAAGCTGTAAGAATCGCTGGATCATTGGTGAAAATCTCGTCAACGTGATTCGCGGAGTATTGTTACTACAATTGCTGAACAATTCATGATAAAAAGATCACAAATCCATCAATTAAATCATCTTTAATTGATTGACGAACAAGCCATTGTCAAGAAGAGGACAATTCATTGAGAGACAAGTTGTCACCTCCTGAAAGTATACCGGATGCAATGAAGAGTCTCCTCTTGTTGTGTTGACCTAAGGATGAAGCTCCCTAAAGCTCCTTGACATGTGCCCCACCTGCATCCAGCTCCTCTCCGTTAGGTGACAACCACTAAAGAGTCACAAAGTCGCTATTTTTACGCTCTACCAGGTGATAGTCACTAGAGATGATTCAACAACCCATTTCATTGATCTCTAGACTTCGCAAAGAGATCTAGAGATTGCCTATGTCATCTTTGTCTAAGGAGAGCCTTCGAAGTCGTGGACATTGCACGATGATCC